GAGGTGACGGTGCCACTTCTGATAGTGCACGGTGGTGATAACAAAATATGCGACCCGGCGTGTGCGGAGGATTTGTACAAACGCGCTGCCAGTAAGGATAAGACCATCCACATATATCCCGGCATGTGGCACCAGCTGGTTGGTGAGTCTGATGAGGATGTCGAGCGCGTGTTTGGAGACATTGTGGAGTGGCTTCGGACTAGAGCTGAACGAGACATTGAGAACGGCAGCGGAGATGGTTGTTAGAGTCATTAGGTTAGATTAGGTTATAAGAATTTTATATCAAAAAAAAAAAAAAGCAATCCGATGCCGCGCAAGATTTGTGCCAGCTCATCTTTGAAAAAATTGTATTTTGTTCTATTATGAGTGTTATATGAATATTAGTAATTGACTATGGATATACAAAGGTTGGGAAAGAAGATCATTAATGTTTAATATAAATTTAATGAATGAATGTCGTATATGAATATAAGTGGTGAATAAATTGTGCATTTTGTATGTTGTAAGCATGTATAACTCTGTATGATAAAAAGAAAGTATTAATAGTATGTAGAATAAATGTAGTAAATTCTATTGTAATAAAACTTAGGTTAATGAATAATAGTTAAAGTGGATAATATTTTTTTGGAAATAAGATACCTATACTTAGTAATGTTTAGATAAAACAAGATTTTTAATTTTTTTGTTTGGAAATTTGCATTGTTGTATAATTGTATTTTATACCAAAGCATTTGGAATAGGATTTTTTTGACAAGTATTAATCTTGTTATAAATTACTTATTAAAGGCATATTAAACTAAGTGTTTACTTATGGATATAAACATAGAATGGGAGAGTTTGTTCATAATTAAACATTCATAATGCAAAATAGAAAAAACTTGAATCTCAAATTTTAATTTAGTTTTGGAATATGAAATTAAGAGAAGAGAGATGGATTTGAATTAAGGTTTGAATTTTTTTAAATATAAATCCAATGTTTTGTATAAATATTGTAATATGTAGTTGTTTTGAGTTTAATTAGTATGGATGGATATTTGAAATGTAAAAGAAAGAGAATTGATTAGAACAAAAAAAATGGCAATAGATCATTAAGATATCTAAAATTAATGTAATATATTATTTTCTTATACATTATATTTGTTATTTGTGTGACTTATCTATTGGTAAATATATTGATAACTAAGATGTTTACGAAATTAATTGGCTAATTAAGGTCTATATTTAGAGGATAGAGTGAAATAAGCATTTAATGAATAGGTTAAAATTATAGCTTATTTAAACATATTTTTTCTTTGATAGTAGTTAAATAACGTAAGGTTGTCTTTAATTGTGTTGCATTGACACATCATTTTTTTATTAGAGTTTTGGTTGTGTTTCGCATGAAGAATCCTATGGATAAAAATTTGCCATCCAATTTGTGTTTATTGAAGTTAGATGGCACTGGAAGTTTGCTTTTAAGATTCACATGTGCACAGTAGAAATATGTTATCTTTTACTTTTGACAGCATTAATCTTGGTATGACATGTTTGTATTAAAGGTAGCAAAATATATATTTGATGTGAGTTCTAGATAAGAGGTAAGGATCTTATGCTTAGATATTTAGGTCTTTGTTGGTTGATGAGCTTTTTTTGAAACTAACGTTTTTGTACGGTTTATTTGTATTTAGATGGCAGCTGCAAGTCAAGGGTTTCCAAATGTTCAAGATGATTATCTAGAGTTGGAGGAAGAATTGAATAGATTGACAATTCTTGGTGGTGCTTGTTTTCCTATGGGTAATAGTTGTCACAATCGGCAAGCAGAACCTCTTGCACGAGCTCAAGCAAATAGTATTCTGCTAAAAAATGAGATCTATGATTTGTTCAAGCAATTTTATAGGCATGAATGTTGGGGATTTGTTTTGGACAGTGCTTTAGTAAGTGGTAGAAGTCTGCCTATGATGCAACTAATTGCTTCAAGAATGAAGGCAAATGTTGAAGAGCAAATGCTGTGGCAACCAATATCACCTTCCCTTGAGAGTTCTCATAGTTTTGGTAGTTTCTATAGTCAAAATGACTAAAAAACTTGCTGTAATTGGTGTGTGATAGATGTTGGAGTTATTACTTTATAGCTTGCAGCTAATAGCTTATGTGTTATGGTATTATTAAATAAGTAGTTGCTTATTTGTCTAATAATTTGTTGTTAATGTTCATGTGTATCTATGCAGATTATTGGATAAAGTTTTGATGTTTATTGCAGTATATGACTTGGTAAATGAAAAGGTGACAAATTAAAAAGGAAAAATCTGTTGGTGCTATCTGATAAAGAAGGAAAAGCAAAGTAAATAAAATTAAACTGTTATAGCACATAAATGTTAGTAAGAATCTATATTGTCATACAATTGACAAAAGACATTAGTGATTCTTACTTAAAGAAAAGATGAATTATTTGTTCATAGTTAGCATCTGAAAGGAATCTACAAATAAGAATACACATAATACTTGATACCTAGGAAAAAGTTTCTCAACTCCATTTGGTTTGTAAATCTAGATTGTAAAGCTATTAATGGACTATGGGATGAAGACCAAAGTCTCGCCTAGTTCCAACTCATGTGTTTTGATGAAGATTTCTTAGTAGCTTGTGAATTGCCTTCCTTGCATTCCAACTTAAAAAGCTTTATATCCAGTTCTTAAAGTGACAACTGGAGTTTTATTGCTATGTATGATATGTTCGAGAAACTTTGGAATTTTCTAATGAAAAAGGCAGGGAAAAATAGTTCATGTGTGTAAAGTAGTGTATAAGAGATTAGTTAAGGAAATGATAAAAGGACTGAGCACATAGACTTACAAATTTGTCTCTATTTTTCTTGTTATAAACTTGATAAAAAGCTATAGAATCTGCTTCATCTTGAACTATGTTTGGCTTTATTGATGAGCAAACATGTTGATATAAGATGTATTTAGCCTTTTTATCTGGTATAAGTGATAAATAATAAAATTTGTGTGATATGACTATGTAGCTAATCTTTTTGGATTTGGTAGAAAAGGATTTGAGCTTAACATACCATTGCTTCCTGGAACATGTTGCTTTAGTATATCAGAGAGTGGGACTGTCCAAGGGAATTTTGTGTTCATCTTGAGCTTTGTCAATAACATTAGATCAAACTTCAAGTCTCCATTGTGTCGAAGAAGTATTTTGCTATCTGTATGGATCAGGTTGTCTTTTCTAAATTCCAACCATCCAGATGCAAAGTTGCCATTATCAATCTCAAGGTTCCATGACTTGAAGCTCTGTACAATTGTAATATTGCATTTTTTATAATGCTCCAATAGAAAGATGAATTCAGTTGAAAGGCTCTACAGCATATTTTTTTTGTTAAAGATTGAGTTGAGTGAAACAATATGTAGTATATGATTAATTAAAAAGCTATAGAGTATTGAAAGTAAATATGAAGACCTTTTGTTTGTTGCTGCATTTTAGCAAAAAACAACATTTTGTGACATTGTCCATTGGTATTGATGGTACGAATGAACTTGCAAAATCAGTGTTTATAGCCATGGCAGAGCAATGAAGGCCTTTGTAGTAGCTAGCAGGAAGCAGTGTAAGTTGAGTTTTAGTATGAATGTAGTAGACAAAAGGTTAATATAGAAATAAAACAAGGATGAGAATAGGAATGAAAGAGGTGAATAAATTTTTACCTGGAACTTAGTTGTTCAAGGATGAAAGCTTTTTGACCTGATGAAGAAACATAACTCCTTACGTAAAGGGAGAAAGCCACTTATAAAAACTGTAAATGGAGGAAGTTGGTAAGTTAGTAGTAAAGAACAAGTGTAACTGTTTAAATAGGAGGACATTGAAGAGCATAAAATTTAATTATAGTACAAAAACCTGATGTATAGCTAACAACAAGTTTTCCTTGAGACCAAGTAGGAAAGATGCACAAGTTATGATAGCTGGCGATAAGACTTGGAAAAGAATCAGTTATAGGCTGCCAAAATTTGACATAAAAAAGCTGTTCTACTAAAGTTGAAGTGAACTAACTACAGCAAATTTACCAAATTCTAATATAAGAGGAAAAGTTTAGTTGGTTTTTAATATTGAATACGAGTTTGAGATCAACAAGTTACTATAGGAATGGAATATATGCTAAGTTATATAGGAAGTGTAAATAGTTAAGAGTAAATAGCTGGCTTGGTCTGAAACAATTGCAAGCTGTTTTGTAATAGCTTCAATAAGAGCTAAACAAAAGGATTTTAACATAGTTAGGTAGCATTGCTCTTACATAATAGATACATTTTTGAAATGGATAAACATCATATGGAGACTAGAAATCCGGCCATTTCTCATATTACAAAAGTTACATAATGAGATTCTAGTTATGAGTTTAAAAGCAAGAATAGTCTGATTGTAGATACAAGTAAAGAGATGGAGAGCATTAAGCTAGTTTTGTCTTTTTAGATGCAAAGATAACTTCAGAGCTAGTCTCTGGGCTGTTTGCTTGAGATGTGGCTGCTTCATCAAATCTGCTTGCCAGATTAATGCGAACACTTGTGATAGGGCTTCGCACATCTGTGTCAGAAGAATATAAGCAAAAAGAACCAGTAACATCGATGTTATATGCCAAATTAATGGGAATTCTATAATAAAACCAGCATACAGTTGAATAACTTTGGAATTTATGGAAAAATACCTTGTGTTTCAGCAGTAGGATTTTGCAAGGAAGATTCTAGTAAGAAAAATCGGGAGATTCAATAGTTTGTTGTGTTGAAATTTTAGCAAAATTTGACTCATAGCAATGAAGAATTGTATAGCACTGCTGAAGATCTCCATAATGGTTCGCAGCTGGTTGAATTTGAACTGCAAATTCTTTAGTCCGTAAAGCTTCATGAACATGCATTAATGGAAGCTCAATATTCTAGGGAAAAATCAAGAATCAATAGAATGTTATTATTGAAGTGCATTTCAGAAAATAAAAGTTGTATAAGTACTATATATGTAATGAAGAAATCACTTTATGAAAGTACTACATTGCATCCAAGGTAGAATAAGTTAAAAGTTTTTCAGCTAAATCACCAAAGAAAGTTGCAGTTACTCTTCCACTTTTATCAGAAAAGATAACATCAAATCGACACCTGTTTTAGAATGCATTTTCTAATATTAGTGATGATAGCAAATTGGTCCAAATAAGAGTAAGTTAACAACTATAATCATAATAAACCTTGGAGTAGCTTTTTGATACTCCGAACACTTATTGCATGAGTATGAATATCCATACAAAACATCTGTTGCTTTGAAGCATTTTTACACGCCATATACCCATAGCGCTGGAAAATGTTCTCAAATGACATAGAAGCTCTCACCCATGCAAACTAAATCAAGAAAATTGTAAAGATCAGGAATATAAATATGACAAAGGGTGATGAGTATAAATTCGTATGTTGTTACCTTTTGAGTTGATTGGAGAAAGTAAATAAGCGTGAACTTCTGAGATAAATGAGTAAAAAGGTCAGGATTATATCAAGCATAGGATTTATCTTTGATGAATTATACAAACAACATTGCATTTTCTGTAGCCCTGTGATAATTTCTTTATTGTTAGGACCTAAAATTTAAAAAAGAAAAGTCTCTCAATAACTATTCCAGTAAAAAGTAGAGATTACCAATTTTTTAGTTGCATAACCTCCTGAATAGGTGGATCAATCAACATAGCTAAGTCTTTCCTAATAGACAGAGCAATTCTTTTGCAAAAAAAGTATATAGTAGTAATCTTAGTTAAGAGTAAGAGGTAGGATGATACAGTTGTAAGATAAAGGATAGTGTGTAAATGTATAATAAGATAGCTGGCATAACTACCATTCAAAGGCTTGACCTTTAACCGTTTAAAAACTATAACTGGAAAATTGTTCATGTTCTCGCCAATTTTCTAGCCTTCATTATCGATGAACTCATTAAATAGTGATAGTTGGAGAGCTAACTTCCTGTTGTTTTTTAGTGAGAATAGAATTTATTACCGATTAGTTAATAAGATAAAGAGATGCATTTTTAAAGGAAATATAAAATAAAAAGAATATTTGTAGATTTACTAACTCTTCATCAACGACTACAAACTTTTGTATGCTTCCAATTCCAAATTCATTTATGAAAGAAGTCACTGGTGATACAAAAATAACCATAGTTAGGATATCTAAGAAATGAAACAAGCAATAATTAGCAGTTAAGATAGGAAAAAGATATTCTCGAAATATATAAATGACGTATTGTTACTAACCAACAAATTGGTTTTTTGCTCTATAAACTGTGTGAGATCTTTGAACATAGTATAGGAGAATCTTGTAGGCATTATATCAGTATCATCAAGTAGCTCTTCCATAATAATTTTGGTAGAAATGATCCATTGAGTAGTTAAGCTATCAGTTTTGTATTTTTCATCAACAAGCCGAATTTTAGCATTTGAGATTTTGTATCTTTTGAAAATAGTAAGATGTGGCCCCATAACTTGAATGATATGATTAAAGAGAATTCTTTCAACTCAAGATCCCTACAATTGTATCAATATCAATAAAATATTATGCAACTAATTACAAGGCTGAATAAAAAGAAAATGCAATAATTTTCAAGAGAGTAAGTTATTTTAGAAATAAGCTTTTAACTATTGCATCAACCAAGATTAATTTCTGATATCTAGTCGATGAAGCACTTGTTGTAGCAGGATGATGTTTTTCTTGTACAATTATTTTCGCTGACCAAGACTTCATTCTTGGTTGAATTTCTTCGATTGATAAGCAATCATCCATTCTATGGGAAAATAAATGATGCAATGAGGTTGGTTAAAAGATATTAATATAATAGCAAACTCAAGTTAGTTATAAAGGCAAGTAAAAGGACAATAGAATATGGACTAAATGCAATAACACTTGTGTTCATACATATATAGATGGTAATATTGCTATGCTTTGGACAGGTTTAGAATTTCTTGATAGACTACATTCCTAGTTTTACAATTTTTTTTGGTATCACTAAAAGTTTCTGGCACAATCAATACTTTAACTGAGTCAGAAGCCTTAGCTCTAGAAAGAGCAAAGTATAACTGACCATGAGAAAAAGTAGGTTCTCTAAGATATATTCCCATATAATCAAGCGTTTGTTCTTGAACTTTGTTAATAGTCATTGCAAAGCAAAGCCTAACAGGAAATTGAATCCTCTTAAAAGGAATGCCATTCTTGTCATTGTCAGGAGTCTGCAGCGGAATTCTAGGCAGTAGAACCTGTTTCCACTTGTGAGGACTAGCAGCAATTTTAGCAGAGATAGTGTTTGGTTTCAATTCTCTACAAATTAAACAAGTTCCATTGCAAAGGCCTTCGGTTGGATTGAGACCGCTTAAAAGTATTAGAGGACAGCTCTTTTTAAGGACCAAATTGTAGGGTAGAAGGCCCTTTGGATTTTGGGAATTAAGGAAATCCTTATAGTCTCCTTGATAGCATTCATCAAGTGTTCTATCTGTACTTGTATAAGCATGCGCTTCACCTGGGAAGTGGTTTGTCATAATATTGTTTATGTCATCTACAGATCTGTTAGTAGACGATAAAATACATTTGTTTATCAACTTATATGGATCTTCTGAATAGAGATGCTAGTCGGAATAAACAGAATTGAGTAAGCTATTGAGAAAATATGATTGTTAGGAGGAAATGTTAATTTATTCACAAGAACAATAATATAAAATAAGAAAAACCAAAGGTGCTACTGCATTGCATCAGTTCTTACCTTTGTAGTGAGGTTTCTTTACTACCAAATGGAATAACCATATCATTTGGTAGAGTGATTTTTCTAATTTCATCCATTGGTTCAGTACCTTCTCCAATTCTCAATAAAAATTCAAAGAAAGCTGGATCATAAAATGCTCTCATATTTCTTATAAGTTTTAGTTTATGAAAAGAGCTCCAAAAAGGTGAGTTTACTGACCTTGCTTGAATCTGCACCTCTTTTGGTGCATTGTCAATAACAGGCAACGTTAGTTGGAAATTCCCACAAAAAACAACTACCTTACCGTCAAAGGGCTATTAACTTTTCATGGTATCTTTTAACAGGAAATCAAATGCTTCTATTGTTTCACATTTAGCCATACAAATTTCGTCCCAAAGAATGAGCTTAGCTTGTTGAATCAATTTTGCCATACTACTTTGTTTGTTAAGTTGACAGGTTTTTACAGCAGATAAATCCTGAGGTATTTAAACCTTGAATGTGCAGTCCTACCTCCTGGAAGGATTGATGTAGCTACTCCCGATGTAGCTATAGCAAGAACTATATAGCTCTGTGATCTTAGTGTAGCAAGAAGTGATAGATACAAAAAAGTTTTACCGGTCCCATTGGGATCATCAATAAAGAAAGCGTGTCCAGCATTTGAAAAGGCGCTATTGAGTATAATATCATAGGCTTTTTTCTGTCTAGCATTTAATTTCGAAACAAGAAACAAGTCTGTATTTGGGAAGCAAACATTCTACTCAGCTAAAATTTCTTTTGTAAAATTCTCTGGGTGGGTAAGACTTGAAAATGCTGGTATTAAATTATACTCATTAAGTGACTTCCCCATTTGCTCTAGGAATCTATTAATGTCATGAAGAACTTAAGACTTAATTTGTTCTGATGTGTAACAGTATATGTTCGAGACTGTTAAAATCTTGTGAAAAATTTGGTTCAAAGTTTTTCCAAAGAAGCTTAGAATTGTTAGGCGAGCAGAATGCAAGTAAAACATCAAATAAAAATGTGAGAGCAGAAGGCATTTGGTAAAGTGCAACTTCTTCAAATGTATCTTTTATATAACTATTAGAGATCAAGAGACCCAATTGTAAAGCAGCTTCTCTATAAAAAGCAAGTTGGAAGCCTTTAACAATCACCAGTCTTCAAATGAGGTTGGCCCTGCAATATGCGAGAGAAGGAGTTTAAGATAATAGCTAACTGTAGCAAGTCTTCTAATGACTATAGCACACTTTCTTTCAGTCATTTGGTTGGAACTGAATCTAATGAAAATAGTTTTTGCTGACCTCTATTTCCTTTTTTTGATGCTGGGAGAAAATAAAAGAGATTCAAAGGAAAACAAAACTTTAGTATTGTTAAACCATGGCTGCTACAAATGACTAACAGAAGGAAAAAATAGAATAGCAACCTATTTTGCGTGGATGTTTATTCACTGCAGCAGACTGGAATGATTTGGGTACTGGTGAAGGAAGGGCATTTTGGAAGATTATTAAAAGGTAAAAGGAGAAAGCTAGGAAAATTGGAGGTTTATCAGAAAGCTAAATAATCTATAACACCTAATGTGGAAGACTGTGTTGCTTTTCCAGAATTTTGATCACCCCCAACTCTATTAGCTGTAGAAGAGGAGGAATTCTCTAGCACATTCCTAGTTTTGATTAAGAAATGCTGCAATGTCTTAAATTTTGATAAAGAAGCACCCGAGATTGTTACAAAGAATGAACATTTATACAATAGAAAAATTGTGTGAAGATAAAAATTATAAAAAAGAAAAGAAAAGAAAAAACCAGTAGTTTATTGGTGTATACGTAAAAAGGAGATTGTGAGGAAATTTTATTACATGTGTGTAGCACAGGAAGGATCTAAAATCCATTGATGAGCAAGGATTTAAAAAAAAGAAATTATATTTTACCTCTAGAATTAGAAATGTGCATGCGATCTACAGATGTAGGAACTTGTTCCGGATTAAAAGAGGTGTCAGGATTTGAAGTAGGCTGATCAGTATCAAGTTTGTTGAGGATTTATTCAAAGAGTTGAGTTAATTGCAAATCATCTAAACAAGGAGTGTTTTGAAAACAAGAGGACTAATCCTTAGAGTTTGTGGCAAAAGTAGTGGTAGCAGAAACAAAAGTCTCAGCATTATAATAACTATTATCGATTTCAACTTGTTTTTGCTGACATTGAGCCTCAAACTTAGGTTCTGGAAAGCAAATTCCAGTTTTAACATGGCCTAAACCTGTCCTACTAATATAGTGTTTTTTATTCTTCTTGCAGGTAGGTGCTCTAGTAGGAGCAGCAGAGGATCAAGCCATATTTAGCAAGTTCATTTCTTTGTTGCATAAGCCTCTAGTCAGTATCGAAACAATGCATCCTTTTCAATAAATGGCATTTCTGCATAACGTTTACGCCGACAAGCATTCCTATCCATCTAATTGATCAACAGATTCTATTTAGAAATGTTACAAGTAATAGATATAGTAGCAGATAATTGAATAGCATAGATAATAAAACAGGACTATGTTACTGTATTAAAGCATGAGAAATGTATGCTGCACAACCATTAAAGCATAAACATCAAATGAAAATAAAAAAAGGCAAAAAACTGGAACTAAAAATAAATAATAAATGAACATTCACGAGACAAAGTACTTATAACATTTATTTACTCTGTTTAGTTTTCATTCCTTAATTTATGTTAGTCTCTTGTTAGTCGAAGGAGTTTTCAAGAGTTAAGGGATTTTTTTTTATATTTTTCTACGTCATATAGAGTAATTGTATGATATTTTTTGATACGCATGTTAAACTTCTCAGGGTTCAATTTATGCACTCTCTCTCTACTTCTGATACATTCGATAAATTGATTTATGCGGTGGGTATATACCACCAATGGTGAAGGTGGTAGGAAGGATCCATAGAATGTTATTAGCTCATCAATTAAGTATTCCAACTGTATACTTTTTAATAAGGTTTAACTTATGTGGACATATAGCATTATGTTCATGGACTAATTAGATAATGATTATTTTTAGTCTTAAAATGAAAGAGACATGCTCTGTATAGTTTTTTTTTTTTTTTTTGAAAAAGCATTTTAGATTGAAATACTGGAAGATGTTGCAATATCTTCTTTGCATCTATTTTGCACCTAAGGAAAGTGGTGGTAATTGAATTAAATATTTTGTGACCTGTAATATTGTATTTGGAATTTGAACATCACTCAATCCAACCTAGAGGTCCTTATTTTTTGCACTGATATATGTTTTTGAGATTGCATATTTTATTCTTTGCTAGAGATTTGTTCTAAGTTTATTGAAAAAGATTGCATATCTTACTCTTTTGAGATTGCATCTTTTGCACTAATAATGTCCATTTTTCCCTAAGCTTAAAAATAAAAAAGAATTAAGATTCTTCTTCATTTGAAAAAGATTATTCATATATAGTGTTGAAAGAGGGTATGAAATATGCTTAGAATTGCTATCTTTATTAATGGATGGTATTTATGCTGCCACTGAATGAAGTCTTATCTATCAAAAAATTTAGCAATTTTTCATTTATTTTTGAGATTATTATTTGCATAGATGAACAACTCCGCTCAGTATTCCTATTAAGTTTCATATTCTTGCAGACTTAATATTTAAAGAAGGTAAAGGTGTCTGTTTTGTGATTTAATAATTACTAACTCTTGCCTTATGAACTATGTATAGATTTATGTTCTTAGATTTATTCTCTATAATGAAAAGGCAATATTTTTTTGTTGATTCTTTCATGGATGTATGGCTACTATTGTTTTGAGTTAGTGGTTGTATTTTAATCCCTGCTTCTTATAGCCTGTCTTAAGCCATAGATACCTATGGAGTATACACCAAATATTAGAGAAAAAATAAATAAACAGAAAAGATTGAGGGAAACGATAAAGAAAACAAACAATTGATACAGAATAAAAGACACAAGAAATGCATAAAACAAAAAAAAAAGTCAAAAAGCTTACAATTTATATAATCGATGGAAAAAAGAGAACAAGCATACCTTGCACAAATTTCCAACCACTACAAAGAACACACAGAAAGCTGGGAGACAGAAAAAACTACATGTCAAATAGCAGTAGAAAAGAATAACTCTTATAGAAAACATACTTTGGCAAATTAGTTGACTAGTAAAGTCAGCATGGATAAAAATTGATCTTTTCTAGAAGAATAATTTTGAAGAAAAAATAAGCTCACTCAATCGGAAGGTAAAATAACATTTAAATTTTGTAAAGGATAAATAGACTAAATCTAAGAAAAGAAAGGGCAACGAGTTGGCAAAAGTCCGAAGCTAATAAACAAAAACCAGATACTATTTCACTTATTAGTAACATTAACTATTAATCTTCTTTCTTGCCTTTTTTTTGTTTTTATTCTTGGATTAGTATCAGGATTTGACAAATGTGAAATGACAACTATAGCAATAAAAGCAATCATCAAAAAATACGTCTAATCTCTCTAGTTCTCAAGGCCCAACTCCAGCCTTTGAGGATTCAATACTAGCTTTGATTTAAAACATGTAAGACATATATTGCTAATTTTAGAGAGGATAACTTGACCAATGCACAACGATGAAGAGCATTCCTAAAGTAAACAAATATATTATATATGGAGCAAGAATATCTAATTTGAATGATGGCCAATCAAAAAGTGATTAGAAGACATTTTTGTAGTATGGTGCAAAGTTTTGTTTAATTAATGCAATAGTATTCTGAAAAAACGATTTTACAAGAACCTATTCATATATAGCATGAGATTTACAAGCTACAAGAAAATTGATAAGGTTTAGACTTCGCTAAATAGCAAAAGAGCAAAATGTTAGAAAAAACAGGTTATGCAAGGTATCATATATAGATCTATGTTTTGAAACTCGGACCGGCTATCGACTCGGTCGAGATCAGGGGTCAACGGGTTCGACCGGCGTCTAACCCATTCAAGAACTAGATGACGTCATAAATATATTTAATTTTAAAAATTAATATATTATATAAATTTTCTAAAAACATATTAATACTAAGAAATGCAGGTTCAATGCATATTTGATATTTCTAAGATACTTTACAAGAAAATACAAATAAGGTAGTATAATTAAATAGCAATTTATGCAATTTACAATTTAGTGCATATTCAACAGG